ATCTATCTATCATCTATCTATCTATCTATCTATCATCTATCTATCTTTTGGTGAGAACGTTTAAGTTCTTTTAGCAAATTTCAATTATATAATACAGTATTATCAACTATAGTCACCATGTTATCCATTAGATCTTCAGACCTTTTTCATCTTATAGCTGAAAGTTTGTGCCCTTGTACCAATCACTTGAGAAGTTTCTTTAAGAGGAAGGAAGCAAGAGAAGAATTAGAAAAAAAATGGATGTAAAAATGGGTTGCTTTGAAACAATAAAGATGGTACACATGGGTATAGGATATTGGTACCTTTTTATGATTGAAGTTGACATGGTTTTTCAAATATATTCAGGTTACATTTTGATTGACCTATTTGTAAGAGCAAAATTATTTCCTCTTGGAGATGAAAGCTTTGGGGTGTAGATGTTCAGGAATAAAACATACTGCATAGATTCCTGTGCTTTGCAAGATGCTGAAATGAGTAGTGATGAGATGAAGGGCAAGAGAAGTAACTAATGCTGTGACATAAAAAACAATGGTAGAGGAAAGGCATTTTAACTACAAGGGGGAGGGTTTTCCAGGCACCATCCAATCAGAAAAAACTCTCGTTTTTAAAATGAGGGCGAGGAGGGTACAAGGAGATGGCATTTTGTAGCTGGCACTTTGAAAAGTACCTTCCAGAATTTCCAGTATTTTCAATAATTGTGAGGCAGATAGTAAGAACAAATAACCCGAGCAACAGCAATGCAGTGATGAACTCTGGGTACTCTGAACACCTGGGTCATGAGCTAAGGGTGCCAACAGAGTGAGTTGGAAGCAGATCCAGAAATCAAGACCAGTCCNTGACCTGCCTCACCCAGGAAGAGCACAATGATGGTGCCAACTTGGGCTAATGAAGCAACGTCCTCCACAACTAGACTGAAGAACAAAAGGACAACTTGTCTGTTCCCCTTCCCCAATTCCCCAGCGCTGTTCCCATCCCCCAATTCCCCAATAAAAATCTTAAACAAAAAAAATTCCTCTACTGATGGACATTTGGGTGGTCTCCAGTTTTTTGCTATTATGAATAAAGCTGTTAAGAATATTTATGTACAAATTTTTGTGTGGACATTATGTTTTCATTTATTTTGGATAAATAACTAGGTGTCGGGTTGCTGGGTAAATAGTAAGTGAATAATGGTTCACTGTATAAGAAACTAACCAACTGTTTTGCAAAGTGGCTGTACCGTTTTGTAGTCCCACCAATAATGTCTGGGAGTTCCATTTGCTCCATGTTCTGGCTAACAATATTGTGAGTCTTTTTATTTTTAGCCATTCTAGCAAGTGTCTAGTGATAGCTCATTGTGTTTTCATTTTTTTTGTTGCATTAAAAATCTCAGCCATATTAGTAGTGTCTTACTTTGGGAGAGAATTTGAGATTTGATTCTGCCCTGGTTCAGTTTTAGTCTCTACTATTTAGGGCATTTTTGCTCTGGCTGGAATTGGCCTATTAAGACCTGGCTCTTTAACCCCCAGGACAAAGCCACAGTCAGAGCAGGAGCATGCCAATGGGACAAAGTTGCCAAGAAGTCAGTTGGTCTACACTGAGTAGTTGTGATTCAGAGCAGCTGATTCTTCAATTGCTCATGACCATGGTCTCCTGAATGGGTGGGTGGAAAGCAGTAATTTCTTTGACTTCCTGACAGAAAATTGCCCTTATTAGCTGTCCACAGAGGTCCTCATTCATTCATTCAATGAATATTAGTAGTAAACTTCCTATGTATCAAACACTGCTCTGGGTGCTGGGTATACATCAGTGAGTAAACAAACTCCTTGCCCTCCTGGTGCTTATATAATGTCAAGATGGACAAGAACTACACAATAGAATAAAGGGGGGAATGGGCTAGTCAGTTAAAAGAGCAGCTGATTCCACTTAGCAGGGAAGGATTCTTTGAGGAGATGACATTCTAGTATTAAGAGATGATGCTATGCAAGTTTCTCAGGTGAGAACATTTATGAGGGAATTTTGGGGAGGAGGGTCCTCTCCATCTGGAATTCCATTGCTGGTTTAGCTCAGGAAGAGAAGGTGGATGGAGAGGAGAGGAACTGGAAAGGTGGGGATCAGGGTATTGGGGGCTTCTCCTCTGCCTTACCCTCTGCAAAGCTGTCTAAAAATCCTCTTTCTCTATTGTCGAGAGCCACATCTCAAAGGATGGAGCTCCTTATTCCTAATTTTCCACTTTGAACCACTAAGTCCTGTAGATTTTGCCTCTTTAAAACATCTCGTATCACTCCAGTCCCAAGGCACTGCCCAGTTCAGGTTGTCACCATGAAGTTTTTGGGTAATTGCTCCAGACCCCTAATGGTCTGCCCACCTCTAGACTTGCCCTCCTTCCCCAGTCCCTTCTCTACAGCCAGGGAGACCTTTTCAAAGGGTAAACCTGGTCAAGTTACTCCCTTGCTTAAAAATCCCAGGTGGCAGTATAAAAATACAACTTATCATGACCCATAGGCCTTTCATGATGCATGCCTAAAAACCCCTCTAGTCTCACCACAGTCCCTTCCTGTCCCCTTGAACTTTTCATCCAGGCTATAGAACCATTTGCTGCTCCCCAAATGTATTATGCTTTTGAGAAGCCTTCCTTAACTTCCCCAAAACCATAGCAGTGTTTTTCCTGGGTGCCCCCATAGCACCCCATTCATCCA